AAATGCAGATGCTTTCTAGAGTGGCTGCAGGTTTTGCTGCAGCCTGGGAATGGCTAAAAATAACAACAAATACTTAACCTACAACTTGGACAATCAACACATGGATAACCAAGATCTCATGATTATAACCACTTCTATATAATAGTGGGGAAAAAACTCTATATCTTCCTGCAACAGAGCCAAAATACTTGAAAGTTCCAACAAGTATACACACACTGTGCAAATGTCTACTAGAGATAACAATCATGCTATTTATTATCTAAAGATAATTTTAAACGTTACTATACTGTTAATAGCATGGAAAAATAAGGAAGGACAAAGAAAAGGACCTTTTGGTCACAGAACCCAATATACTAGTAAAAGTGTATCCCCACATACCTGGGGGATGATCAAGATTACTGGACAAGGTCCAACACACATTAAAAAAAATTTTGCAACCACTAGCAGCAGCATGATCTTCTTACCAAGGGCAGTAAAAGAACCACAAGATATCATAAATTCTTAACAAGAAGGTAAAAATAATAAAAATAAATAATTTTAAAATAATTAAAAATAATTAAATCTTTACATAGAGAGGAACAAAGTGTCCCTGAATTAGGATCATCAATTCCTTGATATAATTTATCTTTCAAAATCAAATATTACATAAAGTTCAGTGTCTTACAAGATACTAAACACAGTGAAAATACTACAAATGCCCAGTCAGTGGAACTGTAAACATTTGGTAACAGTACACAGGGTAAAGCAGCATTCCTTTTATAATACAGATGACCAAAGAAGTCTTACAACTACGAGTCCCTTGGTCCTATGAAAACCATCACTTGCTCACTCTCGCCCAAAACATTCTCTGTGGTACAAATGACTTCAGGAAGCGGCTGTGGAAATTAAGGTCTGTATCCTGATACTGTATCCTTTCAATAATGCCCAAAGGTCACAAATACTTCACTGTTTCATATATAATATACATTCATATATAATATTACAGCAGCATTGAGAGGCCTCAGTGATCTGAGTCTGTGCAAGATGCACGGTCCTTTGCCAGCTACTTCTTGCCCTTCTCACTAGGCATTTTAATTGAGGTTGCAGAGATATACCCCTGATTATTATTTTAGGAAATAGATTTTAATGTCAAAGGAAAAGACAGCTTTCAGGTTGCATGGTTTAGTAAAACAACCAACTTGGCAATACACAGAATATTAATCAATCAATAAACTCAAAAGGCCTAAAATTTGTAAAAGATAGTAACTACAAAATCCCTCCAGCAGTTAATTCTTGTAAACAGCTGAATCCTGTCCAAATTTATTCTCCATCAATGAAGAATGTGAAGCAACAAATCAGTATCCCTTTATAAGCTTGAAGCCTGATGCTCATCAAATATGCACAATTACTTAGTGACAGACTTAGAAGCCATATTATTGCAAGACTTTACTGCAAAACCTGAAACATGCCTTATATTAGACTGTCAGTTGCTTGACTCCTTTAAAATTCCCTTTAGCTGATAATAAATAACTTCCATAACAACATCACTTTTCTGATCTCCAGCATTTTCCATATAAATTTTGTCTGGCACTTGTTGCCTAGTGACTATCAGCTTGATCAATATTACTGACAGCAGGTTCCTTTTTTCACTAAGGAAAATGTTTTCATACATTCAGTCTCCTATATAAAACAGTCATCTTCCTCTCGCCAACACTTCTGGCATAATGCACACCCTCAGTAGTCAAAACTTGTTCCTCGTGTCTTCACAGAAACAGAGAACCCTGAGAAAGTTTGCTCAAAGTTTTTACTGTAAAACTATAGTAAATAAAAAAAAAAAAAACAAAACAGATAAGGTTTTGTAGTTCATTATATTATTGTTAAGCTACAGAATGCAATTTTAATCCAATTTTGCTAATAAAAAGCATATGTGAGATTGAAAGTGCAGGTTAGATGTTCATAGCAATCCTCCCTCACAAGTATGTATGTTGAGTGTGTGACTTAATTAAAGCAGAGTCATGGGAATGGGGATATCTTGGTGTTATTTTTGATATCGTTGCTCCATTGGAAATGCTGTACACTATACAACCAAATAACAATTCAACCATATTTTTGACACGTTTAAATGGAAAATTTTAAGTGGAAATCCTCATGGAGAATTTCATTTTCATTATGCTGATTTTAAAGATAAACTTCCAATTATCCCTATGTAAATGAGGCAAGATTCAAGCTTTTTACTTCAAACAGTCAAGGACAGGCAGAAATGTGATGCTTCGTCTTGCTACACTGAGAATAATTTGCATTCCTTCCTACCTATGGAGAACCTTACTCTTGGGATATATGGGCAACCTGATCTATGGAAGTAAAGTCTCTTCAATTTCTCCAGTGGTTTAAGATAACACTACTTTCAAGTAATAATTTTTTGTACTTCCAGTCATAAAAGTAGGTTTATGAGATAATTAGAAGAACTTATTTTGCTCATTAGAATCCCACTGATTACTACAGTTTCCATTACTTGTCAGTGTAGAATATGGATATTTTGTGAAAGCAATGCTAACAACATATGGATTCAGCATCTAGATTAACAGTGATTCTCTATCAAATAAGCAGCGGGCAAAAAAGCCAAATAATTTTTGATTAGACACTACAGACATCATAAATAATAAAAATGTGGGCAGGCTAAACAGGCTGAAGAGAATATTTTCCCTTCCAACTAAAATAGATCTTAATATAAAATTTCTGCAATTACCGTAGGAGGGCGGTACAGATAAAACAACTTGAAATTTCATGGATATGCTTTCCCTTTATGATATTGATATGACTTTGAACTTTCATCTGATCACTGAGGCTATGATATGCATCTAAATACTGTGTGGTAGGAAATGTATAGCAAAGCAAGAATAAAAAAGTTTGCAGAAGACCAGTATTTAATCTGCACCCCTATTAGCTACAGAAAGAAAAATAAGGTGAAAATCAATACTTTCAGTACAGGAAAAAAAAAAAAAGGCAAAAGGTTTTTAAGGTGTTGAGAGCATGTGTGTACATTGACATCCACGGCTTGTACATACACCATATTTAAAACTGAGATCTCTGACTTGGTACGTCCATTACAACCTTCCAGTTTCAAATGCACATGTCAGAGCTGCATCAAAGAGCAAGGTTTCTCACATGCTGTGTCCAGCAGTGCAGAAACCACTAGAATTTTTCAAAGGTTCAGATGAAAGCAAATATTATATGATAACCTGATATCTAGATTTCGAAGTTCAGAATCACGGTATTTTTTTATAGACTCTACTTTGTTAAAATCAAATGCCTCATGCAGCCAGGGTATTTTTCTGCAAGGAAGACCGACAACTACACTAAAAGGAGCCAGATAAGCCTATCACCCTGGGAAACGGATGAGCAGGGTGAAATTTTGTGCTGCCTTTTAAAATTTGGCGTGCCTTATTCTTCAGCAGTATGATTAAAAGCTCAATCTATTTACCAGTGTTAAGGACAAACAAACCCCTGAAATAGCTTTCATTTAAGACACTGAACTGCGTTTGAACACATCTACATGCTTCACACAAGGTTGAAAAACCAAGGACAGTTATGACAAGCTTAGGAAAGGACTGGCCTGGTTAACCTTCCATTGCACATTGTGTATTTCCTAGAAAACAGATTTCTGGAAGAAAACTGCAACTTTTTGGTACGTTTATATCTAACCATTTTCTATTATGTCTTGTCACATTTAGAGTTAAATAAGCAATGAGCACACCTACCTAGTGACAGCTTTGTTTATTCCTTATTGTTTTGTTCATTGCCCCAGGCATTACTAACTGTATGCATTATTTTGTGTGCAGATTTACTAATATTCTCATAGATTTTCTAATGGCATGCTTCACCATTTATTCTTCAGAAACCTTTGAGCTGACAGATCAAAATGAAATGCATCGTCTGTCTAATTCTGGGTATCCCATTTTTCTTAGTACTTAAAATTACCAAGAACTTAAAACTTCGAAATCAATTTTCTGAATTAAGTTAAAGTATCAGAGACTCCTCAGCTTGTCTGCAAATGAAGCAACAGGAAGCAATGAACTCAGAAGTGTGAAATCCACAAACTAAATCAGTGAACATCTGGGGAAAGCTTGATCGTGTGACTTTGTCTACCATCAACTGTTATGCTGTGGTACAGACTGGAATACACTGCAGGTCTTCAAATCACAAATTCCTGAGCGAAACAGTATTAAATTTTATCAGGATGTTTCCCATCTGAAGAGTGATTATCAAAAATGCAAAATCCTCCACAGAGTCACAAACTACTCTTCCCATTCCTGGAATATGCAATTTCTTTGTCCAGCTCCTTCCAGCCTAAAACTGCATCTCAAATCTCACTCACTGGTCTCCATCTCCATTCCTGGAACACTGTTTCTAGAACCAACCTTTGTCCAGCAAGGATGTTCAATGCCTCTCAGACTCCCGTTGTGCCTGTATTCACACGCAATACAGACAATCACAACTGGTTTTTGCCAACTTCTTCCCATTTCCACCTCTTCTGACTCCATATCTAAATTCCTTCCTCTCCAATCCTCATCTGCACTTATCATTCTGCCTATAGCTTTGATCCCCTTACACCTGTTTCTCCCCAGTCCTATACTTGGTCTGTCCCTATTCTCTGCCTTTATAGTACCTTCATGAGATCTTTCTATCCATTCTCTTAGTCCAAATGAATTCCAGTTCCTCTCATTTCAGTCCTACATGATGTTACGCTTTTCTGGCTGGTCACTCCCTTCTCAGTCAGCAGATCTCCTAATCCATTCATTACTGTAATTTCTAGTCCTGGATTCCTTCTTAATCTCCAAAGCTTCTAATGCCAAGTTCCATGTGCACTTTTCAAAGTTTTGCATTCAAACTGATTGGCTTCTACCTGTCCATTACTCACACTCATAGGAGCCATGGACAACCCATGCATGGAATTTCTCTGCTCTCACATCACAGAGAGCAAACAGCCAAGTGGCCCATGGTCAGCCTAGAGAACAATTGTACACAGTTCCAATTGCAGAAGTCTTCTTGAGCCCAAACCAGAAAACTGTCTAGCATAGAAGTTGTTCATAGAAGTTAGCAATGTTTTAAGAAATCTCTGATGAGCATATCAAAAGTAAGATTTTTCCACAGGTTTGTAATTTAATTAAATTCAGGTTGATTTTCCTTGGTATATCAAAATGCATGTCCCCTCAGAAAGAAGGATTTCCCCATTCTGTACTAATTTGAGAAAGAACATAAATTATTTAATTTCAAATAAAAGATAATTTTATATGACTTTTTTATCACAAACTTGTCCTTAGCTTTATTATTGAGGATTGTGGCATTGTTGACAAAAAGTTGGTCAATGTTTGGGAAAGTTGAAGAAAAGAAAACAGGAACTTACAAGCCTTCAGGAAGGTGGTGGAGTCACCATCCCTGGAGGAGTTCAAGAGGTGTCTGGATCTGGCACTGGGTGATATGGTTTAGGGGCTACAGAGACAGTGATAGGTGGATGGTTGGACTGGACAATCTTGAATGTCTCTTCCAACTTTGATGATTCTATGATTAAACCTAATTAGCAGGAGTATTACTAGGCTTACTTTGTTTATATTTACCTCCACTCAATCAAAAAAGGTCCAGGGTGATGAATATTAATTTATAAATTACTATATAAAGACATTGGTTTAATTAGACAATCTCTACGGGACTATGATCGAATTTAAAGCATTCCACGATGGCAGATATGAGCAGCAGCTCAAATGAAAGATACCTGCTTGAGGTTAAATTTGGCCTCCTTGTGTTTTATTATCCGATACAGCATTTTTATCTGATTGAAAAATTAGCCATTAATAAACTCAAAGCTACACAATTCCAAGAGATGCTTAAATTGTACTCAATCCTTAAGTTTCAAACCTTGGCTGACAGAATGAAGTTTTGGAGAACTTCTGATGACAATCAAATACTTCAGAACAATTCTAAGCAATTGTGCTCTCAAATACTCAAGTTGATAATCTATACAGACACAGAAGGGATAAAGCAGAACAGTTTTGAAAATAAAATAAATAAAATTAAATGGCTCGAGGTTTATAGATAGCTTCTTAGTTTCAATCATCCACAAACAATCTAAAGGAAATCTAAATTAAAGGATACCAGGGTTTAATTTTAAAGGAATCTATGAGTGAAAAATTTTGGTGGTCTGTAAGAAAAACACACCTTTATCAATGTATTTAAGAACAGCTGTGTAAAGTCTTCAGGCTCAAATATTTACTGTACCTAACAGTTGAACTATAAAAATTGTGTGCATAAGATGCACATTTCTCATTTCATGCACCCCCGTGCCTGTAGGTCATTACAACAGTATCAGTTCCAACTTCAGATTCCACACATGCAACTCATCTTTCTAAATCTAATGCTGTGAGTGTTGAATCACAAAAACGTGGACTTTGAAGTTCATTATTTAACAGAGACAAATGGACATCTGAAAGTATGAAACTGCTGTAAAGCCAAGACTTCATGTACTTATTTTGAAGATGAAAAGTGAATCTGAGAATGAAAGTACCACTGCAGGTCACCAGGTACGGATTTATCTATTGCTAGCCATGTTACAACTGTCTCAAATCCTTTTCTTTTGTCAAAGACACATCTACATAAAGAAGCATAAAGCCTAGTTTTATTGCAGCAAGGCTAAGCACTAGTAGCAGTCTAATCCAAGCAGCAGAGAACTTAAAACAGGCTAAAGCATACAGCTTTTGCAACTGCAGTATAGAGGCACTCAATGTTAACCTGTGAGCAAGAAAGAAAATGAGAACGGTTTGATTCAAAGTTGTTTTATTGACCTGAGATTGGGTATTAGCTATATTTAGGGTGAAATAAATAAACACAGTGCAGACAGAGGACCCAAAATTTCAGCTACAGGCGAGCCCAGACTGTTGACCTTGTTCATTTAAAAAATCAGTGCAGGTCTATCCACATAAAACTGGTCATTGACCTTTTGAACAAGCTCTTACAACTTTTTTTTTTTAATTATTCATGTTTGTCTTTTGTTTTCAAAGTTCATAAATTATTTCTATTCAACCTGAAGAAAGAGTTGTGAAGGACAGCCACCTTACAATCCCAGAAAAGCCTTACCTGAAGAGCATGTGGCTATTTTTCACAGATTTTTAAAGAATGGTTCTCAAAATAAGCCAAGAAATGCCATGGGCCATCTCATATGTGTACACTCTAATGAATTTTATCAGGTAGACAGTTTCATATTACACTTACAGTTGTCAACTCATTCTAACGGTTTCATTAAGTAGGTTGAAATATGCATTTTAGAGACACGGATTCTAAAGAAGAGCATTAAGTTACAGCTCAAAAACACATATTCACAAGCCTGATTTGTTTAATGGTACTTGAAAGTGCTCAGTGTCAACTGATAATTGGAACTAGAGTTTACGTGACTAATAAGAATAATTGTCTGTGTAAGACAAATTGTTGATATGCTGCATGGTGATTTTTGTGGTTTTCTCCTATCTTGTGTGAAATAGATACTTCAGATGTAGTATTCAGTAACGGGGATAGAAGTGTTAAGAAAGGTAAAGCTGGAAAGGAGAACAACACAGCAGCAACACATATTCTGATTTACCTGCCCTTCATATGCCCTATGGGAATATCTCCAATGAAAACTCTACTATGCACGAAGCAAGCAAACAACTGCACCTGTTCTACAACCAACAAGGATCAGAATCTAAATTTTCCAACAATGCACATAAATACAAGTTCCATCACTGAAAGAAAGTGCTTATTCTCGAGCTTTAGTATTAAAATATTATGATGAGAAAAATCTGCCTTAGCAAAGTGATACCAATGAAGTCACAAAGCAATTACAACAAAAATTCACAATGTAAAAGTCTCTTAGCAATCAATCAATTTCAGACAGCAAATTTGGCATATGCACATTTTTTACATTCTTTGCCAGATTCCAAATTGCTCAAATTGCGGGTTTTATTTTATAACAAAAACCGTGTAAAAAAGAGGTTGTTAGGGTAGAAATTATGAGCAACCAGAGAAGAAAAAGTCCAGAGAGAAAGAAGAACACAGAACAAGTAAACAACATTAAAAGGAACAAGAAAAGACATTTACAGTTCTTCTCCTGAACTCTTCTTTCCCATTATAAACTATTTTGTTCCCAAAAGCCTACAGCTTGCAATAACCTCAAAAGCCTCTTTCATCCATTCAAGCCACCTATATTTCATTAAAATGATCTTTAAAATCATTATGCTAGTTTATACAGAAGCTCTGAAGAGTATCTGTGGAGTTTTCTGTTTTGTAGGTCTGTATTTCTATCCAGTTGCGGATGAAGGGACTTGGGGAGATCAGGTCAGGAGGCAAACATAATAAGTGTTACTATATTTGCCTCATGATATTTACAAATATCAGCATGAGTAAATCCGCAGACTTGTTATGGGGGGAGGGAAGCAAATAATGTAAAAAAATCTTTTGTTCTTTCAATTTTCATCCAATTTTTAAAAAATGTGTTATTTTGGGATGGAGGGGAACACAGGGAAAAACCATTTGTTTCAAAGCAGAACATTTCAGATATTCCTGATAAAGATTCTAATGAATAAGATTTTTGACTATTCAGTAGGCATCTAAACATAGTTACTCTTCTTCATCAGTTTCTCTACTGTATTTTCTAAACTAGTTATTTGTGTTTCCAGTATTGAAAAAAATAGAATTATACAAAGTAATAAATCACTTAAATTTCCTTTTCTGCTATGTGCTTCTTGCATGTCAGAATGCAAGTCACTTAGATATATTTTCACCAAGTACATTACCCTGGGTTTCTTGTATGACAGACACTCCAATCTTCTCCCTTATTCACACTAAATCTGCTCTCACAAACTTGATACTGCTTTAAATTTGTACCAGAGGTTCTAAAGAAAACCTCAGGCTCTAATGCCATTTGTACAGGCTGAAATAAGAATCTAGAAACTTTTCCTTTGTTTTGCCTTACAGTGTCTCAGGAAAGCAAGGAAGTACATGGGGTTTAGCAGATTCAATGTCCAAACTGCAAAATAATAACATCTGTCTCATTTCACTGGTGAGCTGCTTCAAATTCCTTGAGAAAACAAGACCTGAAGCAGCAACGGAAACTGCACTCTGGCTGCAGCAAAGGGCTTACCATGGTGGCAAAGTGAATTGAACACAAATCCATTATTCACAGCTAGTAGGGCGATTTAAAAACTTTTTTATTAATTGTCTATCCCTAGTTGCTCAGTAAACCGTTAAGGTTGGTCTGTCCATAAGTTCATGCTTCCAGATCTCTTGTAAATGTGATGTTTGAAAGAAAAATAAAAATAAAGTACACCCAGCACCTGACATCTGGGACTTCATCAAGGGAAACAAAGCCAGCAGGTCTGAACCTGCAGCTGAAGTTTGGGTAAGAGCTGGATCGACTGGCTGGCACACCAAAACCCACCTGCCAGGACATGCGGTAGGCTAGAGTAAGTGTACAAAGAACTATATACATTTCCCTTGTGTATATGTTTCCACCCTACTATGAGGTAGAGAGCTTGAGTACTAGGAGCACTTTGCTGTCACTCTGCAGTGCAATCATCATGGAAAAGGGCAATGCTTCCCCCTTGTAGGGATGTGGGGAAACATGACAATGAACACTTACAGTCAATTATGTATGATTTAGCCATGACCTATAATACAATATAAAGACTTGCGCCCAAATTTAAGATACCATCTTAAAGAGTGACTGCACAAGTCACCATGCATTCAAAATTAAAAAAAAAAATAAAATTAAAGAGTTTGCCTTGTAAAGTAAAAGGTGATTTCTATAGTGATACTCTGCAAAAGGCAGCTAGCAAGGCACCACAAGCTGAATGGCTAAGCAGCCCAAACATGTCCCTCAGTGACTCCCAGCCAGCTCTAGCAGGTCTTCAGTAGTGCAATAACATAGCAAGAGGAGCCTCTGATGAAAGGGTAAGTACCTGTTGATGGTGCAGAGAGGACACACCTGTCCCCCTTTTCACAGCTAAAAAGAACAAACTACAAAACCATGCTTTTGTCACTGTTCAGGGAAAGTGACTTGCTCACAGCTACGTTATCAAGAAGAGTTAACAGAACAGCGGTAAATAAAACCAGCAAAAAAACCCTCTCCACAGTCATTCATGTGGAGGAGGAAAGCTGCAACTGTTTATGGCATATTTCATTATGTTGCCAGATCAACTGAAGTTCGGAGGATAAAGTTTATTGTGCGACATGGCAAAAGCTGTGTGACATCACATAAAAGCATGCTACGTGCCCCAGTGTTGGAAGAAACAGCATTGTTAATCACACATGTGCCATGGAGCAGTGAACAACATGCTTTAACAAATAAGTCTGTATGCAGCAGCATACGTCTTCTGCAGAAATTATTTCAAGGAAACTCTGGACCCACAGCATTGTCAGAAGTGCTCAGTATCCCACCCTCCCACAGCAGCACTGACAGCCTGCCTGCTGACCCTCACAACAGTGTCTATGCATGTACCTTTTTCACTAGTAGTTTTGTTTTTACTGGAGCTCTAATGAAATTCAGTATTTTCCAGCACTCTCCTCCTATTGAAGCTTGTGTACTAGCTCATGTGCAGAAAATAAATTTGCTCTAAATCTTAAATCACCTCATACAATTAGGATTTCTTAAATTAGAAAATATATATTTAAATGCAAAGCCTTTATCAATTACATTGAAAGATGCAATTCCGGCATTTATGCTCAGTATTTTATAACTGAAGATCATTAAAACCTACTGTATACATCTCAGTCTTTATCACTTTTGGTATTTTTAAAAGTAGCTTCTATAAACTCTCTTGCTCTTTTAGTTATTACCTAACTGAATGTTAAGCTATTCAGACACCAGAAGACAATGAATACTTCAAACCTGAAGTTCAAGTGATCAATATGATCCTACAGCCCACACAGTTTTACCCTCAGAAGCCTAAACATTATTGCTTGCTGTTTAACAGAAGCACAAGTTAAAACCTATAGCTGCTATTGAGTGTGAACAATTTTTCTGATCATGTTGCATGAAAAAAACATTAATTTTCCACTGACTACTAGTGGTTGTTATCCAAGGATTTGGGGCTAGGATATTTGCCAAGTTGTAAATGAACACATAGAGCGCAGAGGACACAAAAGGACAGCACAGTGACAGGAACCTTCTCTATCATGAACTGTTAGATTTGAAAAAAATTATGCTAATAGTAATTTTGTGTTTTACATATGCATCAACACAATAATTTTCAACTACCTGGCTTGAAAGCAGTTGCATGATCCAGAATTAGTAAAGCCCAATAATATTAGTAAGCCCAATAATAAAGCAGCATCCTTCTAGGACTCAAGGATTAGCACAAAGCATAATAGCTCTACTGGAGTGTGAGCTGGGAAAAAAGGAAGATCTTGGTGTTCCAGAAAACTGGCCTAGATTCTTCACTCTGCACAAAGCAGAAGACACTAATCAGCCAGGAGATAAAAAGAAGTTTCAAGGTGATTCTTTCTAGAAATGCTGAGAATATGGGTACAAAACAGCTGCTGAAGAAAAGCCCAGTACATTTTCAATGACATCAGGATGACTTTCACTTACAGGCACTGCAGCAAGGGAATGCACTGACAATCCATATAAACTATAGGTGAGAAGCTAGCTAGGAAACCAAAAGAGTAGTGGTTTAAATACTGCTTTCTGGAAGATAGCTTTGTCATGTTAAATTTCTTGCTGCTGTGTTCTAAGACAGCACTATTGTACAAGAAATCCAGAAAACTGGGAATTGTTAGTTTTTTGAGAGGAACATATTGTCTGAAAAAGTTCATGCAGGATCCTCAAAACGAAACCAGTGTGTAGTGACCATACTTTCTGCTTTGGGTTTGCACCTGCATCACTGCTTTATTCCACAATCTTTCAGCCTGACAATAAAAATGCTTTGAGATAACCCTGCTGAGCAAGAATGCCTGATTTCTTCCACAGATAAGAATATTATGAATAAGGACCTTAGCTATCTTCAGATAAGCTAAGCACAGTAATCATGTTATGGCATATTAATAGGTATACATGCAGACGGAATTTAATTCTCTGTACAGAGGTTGCATCTAATATCATCCTACGCCAAACAATGAGTTTCTGTACAGGAAATGGCACTCAATTCAACTACATGACCTGTGACAGCAAGCACAAAAAATGCCTGGCTTT